TTGACGATCCTCTGCAAAGGCCGATGCTCTAGAAAAGGACACAGTTGAATCTAATATGGCAATAACCTGGCCTGCTCTGGTAATGATGAAGTGAAATAAACGAAATAAGAGGAAACAAAAACTAAAGCTCAGTTACGGCGGGGTCCATGCACAGCTGCTGCAAAGCGTCTACAAAGAAACTCTCAATGTTGTCCGCACCTGTAAGTAGTCCGCGTAACATTCCAGCTTTCAAACATGTATAATCAGAGGACAATAAAATACGGTATGAAGGCCGCGCCAATGTTAAATGAATTAAGGTTACGCTGGTATCCTGCTTTTCTCTAGGATACCTCAATAAACGCCGCCTTTTTGTCAAGCACAAAATATTTGCACAGAAGAACGCCGAATCTTTGAGTTAAGAACAGTTACCTCAACCCCCCCCCCCCCCCCCCCGGGGGTTGAGGTAACTGTTCCCGAAACGGTTCCCATTTCGGGAACCGTTTTCCCGGAAAACGAGCAACCTTCACCACCGCTCAAATCCATGTTAGCGTCCTCACTTTCTCGTTTTTTGTTGTTGTTGGTTTTGATTTTTTTTATTGTTATAACTTGTTTCTGTGCAGCCTCTATGCAGCGGGCTTTTTATTATGTTTTTTTTTTGTACGCATTGTGTGTTTGCAGCTGGTAAGTGCATGAGCCCTAAAAAGCTAGCAGTACTTTTTTTTCTTTTTTTTTATTGACTGTGCATAGTGTTTTCGCGCTACGCGCGGACATCTCTTGCTCGAAACGATCTGTCAATAAAACGTCGTTAGACGACTTAATTGCCGCCGGTTCGGGGAAACGTCATGGGCACGAGGGTACGGCATCTAAAATTATTTTATGTACCCGAGCTCCAGCGCAGTTAAAGGAGCGATGCAACAATTTTTGTACTGTGCACAAATACCGCTTAAAACGGATCCTTAACGTTAATGACCTATGAAACACGCGTTCATTTTTCACCCCACGCAATAGAAGTCCCAGAAAAAAAATTTAAGAAAAACGAGCAGCGTTCACCCCCTCAACTCGCAGCCAGAACAAGCGGCCACGTGATCTGGAGCCGATTATATGCCGCCAGGGTTGATCATAGCCACGCGCTGGGGTTGGCAAGGCGCAGGACACGCGCTGAGTTCCAGAGATTGTTATGGCTCGGCTGTTGTCGTCGTTGCAGCGATTGGACACGGGTCACAACCCGAATGCTTCTCGAGCTAGCAATTGTCACGAGCCCAAGTCGAGTGCCCACGCAATGCTCGGGTCCACCTTCGACAGACGTCTGTCGAAGATGTTTACCTTCAAATCTATGAACCGCATTCAAATATCGTCGCTTGGGTGTACTGCGATCCCCTTGTTACGTCATCAAATTTTGCAAAGGAGAGATTGAATGAAAATAATCGCTTTTGTCCTTGAAATTACACCGCAACAAAGGAGTTTCTTGGCCAATGGCGTTGCGTGTGAGTATCCTTGAGTCCGAGGTGTGCCAGTAAGCTCGTGTAGAGAGAAAAACATTCCAATTGAATATCGTTGCGCAGCTCCTTTAAGGCTCTGTCGAAACATCCACTATCAGCTTTCTGCCTCTGATGATATTTCGAGGTCTCGTGAGCACTACCAAGGCACAACGGAAGGAAAAGTTCGCCGAGTGGAGGTAGAGCTTCTATATTGCATTTTTAATATTTTCGCTGTCGAACTGGATAAAATATATCGCCTTTATTTTTTTACTAAGAACGGCCACAATAAAGTGGCACTGTATAGGATACTGAAAGTCGTATTGCGATTTACACGTATGGAAACATTTTTTTTTGTTTCTTTATTCCATGAGAATTATCCGAGCAAAGTGACGTGAACGTACTTGTAAGGAAACGAGTAAAGTAATACACTACCTTTTTACGCGAGGAATTAGTCACGGCAATTCATTACATTTATTTCGAAGTAATTTGTAGTTGTAATTCATTACATTTTCTAAGTAAAGGGTACATGTCTGCATGTCATGGAGCGCTAAGACGTTATCAGCGAGAGTGAGCGCAGCTTCGTGCACACCCCCTCACTCTCGCGATAGCGCCTTGGTGCTCCATTACACGGCGCTGACCGTCCCGTCGGTCGACGCTACCGTGATACTCCTCATTGCAAAGCTGCGTTGGTTCTGCATTTGTGGAGCTGCTTTAGTTCGCCGTTACAACAGATTCGCCGAAGTTCTCGCACGCACACTGCCCCCCGACGTGATATAGAAGTCAGTGATCGGGCTTCGTTTCATCAGTACAAGGGTGATGAGATGGACTAACTGATATGATAAGATGTTGAACATAACTGTCCACAACGTACAAGGACAGGGTTCAGCTGAGCCAATTAGAAGGGACAACAGTATCGTTGCCTGAGTGGTCATGCCGGCTCAGTGGCGAAAAAAAAAAAAACATCAACCCATTTGCCACTGAGACCACGACTTTCAATTTACTAAGGAAAAAGTTAACTACTGGAAAGTAATTAATAACTGAATTATACCGAGCGCTATGAAGTTTCCTAAATGCGCCCTTTAACAAAAACCAATACGACATCGACACTTTTTTTTATGTATGATGCGTACTTTTCGCAGGACCGATTTGGCCCCGCGTTTCGTGAAACACCTTGTATATTCACTGAGAGCCAATTATGTTTTGACATTACTCGATAAAGACGCCGCAAGACAAATCACGAGGCAAGAATCGCAAATTGCGTTTCTTCAGGTGGCAGTTGAGTCTATCTCATCGTAATCATGTTGTTGCTCTCTCAATGCTGAACCTGTCTTTTCACTGTTTTCTTTAACCCAGCATGAAGTCGCTGGTTAGTACAAGCGTTCAGGCTATCCTCTCTGTCATTTCTTCAAAAAGATAAACCAATAAACCACGAAGGTGAAAAAACACAAAGCAGGTGAAGTAAGTCCCTAATAACGAACGCGAGACCGGGATCAAGTGCAAATAAACGGACGACCACAAACACCGTCTAAAACGCAGCCACCGATTTCATTAGTGCACAATCATAGCTATAGAATAAGTCATGCCTGTTTTTGTTGTAAGATGAACATTCCCTAACCAAAAGTTGGAGAAAGGGAAAGCACGGGCACCTCGATTCCAATTATTTAGCCGGCACTGCGTCGACGTGTCAGTCACTCGTTCGGTCCTGATATCAAGCAGCACTGTGCTTGTTTATAGGGAAGGAACACTCCATCATTCGTAGGATATGGGTTTTCGCCGCTTCGTCCAATTATCCCCCCAAGGGCCACCGTCCACTACTATGTCAGAGCTCAGAATTGTTGCGTTTCTTTTTGGCTATATGTACTGTAACGATGTCGAGGCGTGTACGCCTCCCACGAGAGGAAATCAGTCACCGGTGTCTGAGCGGAGGGGAATCGTAGAAACGCGTTGCCTTACTCTATGCAACACAAGTTATCTATGACAGCCCTGCAAACGAACATCACCTTCCGTGTGTGCTGCCCCGCGACTGACTCAGAGCACGGATAATTCTTGTTCTCTCGATGAGTTCAGCCAGTGAGGAGAGCGAGTAGTGTCGTTTTATCTGGTCAGCGTTCCCGTCCCCCGTCCTTCCCCGTGCGAAAGAGAAAAAAAACATCGTATTTTCAATCTCCGAACAGAATCCCCTTATAGCCTCAACGCTAAACTTTCGTTCGGATACTAATCCCTACCTCTACCGGTTAATGCCACTAATATTTCACTCTTAAAGACGCGTTCTACGTTTTGGTGTTTTATTTTGATTTGCCGCCCTTGGGCATCATATCTCTAGTTGCTTTCCTCTTTGTTTTTATAGACAATTTTTTATTTCACCCTAAATACTCTCCTTCCCGGATTTTGTAACGGAGGAGCTTTTTTTTTTTTTTTCGTCTGTATTTTGCACTTGCTGGCACGGCCCTAATTGTCGACTTCCAATCCCCATGCTGTCCATTCCCCATCGCCGTCCCTTTCGCCGCCGAATACATGGACTTCGTCGTTTTCTAACCAATCACCTGCAGTTCATAAAAAAATCCATTTTTGAAAGGTTCTTCGACGCCCCAAGACCTCTCTGAGCTCGTAAAGGGCAGTTTCGCGTCAAGCACTATCGCCCCCTGGCGGACTAGAAGTGCAATTGGGCAATGAAGAACTCTTTCGCGTCAAAAAAGGAGCTAAAAAGAGCCCCCTATAAGTTTTTCAAAAAGAACCATTTTACGAGTTGATTAAGAAAAACTCTTTAGGGTACAAAATATGGACAAGCCAAAGAACATCTAAAAGTTATTTTTTGACTAGATTTCTTTTTCTTTTTTTTTTAGAGTAATATCCTTTTACCATTCCGGTAAAGTGCGTCCGCCCAAGCCGTCGTGTTTTATTTCCGTTTTCGTCTCATTCTTCTCTCACGTCTTTCTTCTTTTTTTTTCTTTTATTCACACTTCTATTTTGCCACTGAGGCAATTCGACCATCAGAGCATGATGCCGATCGTCCTTCTCATTCCCTAGACTAGCCGAAAGAAAAATAATCCGGGTGCCGAGTACATCGCGAAACATCATACATGCCGGAGTATCTACGCACCGACACTATAAAAGAAGAGAGATTTAGTATTGCGAGTTGGAGAAATGCAATAACTATGCGTTTGCGTTGGCATATCGTCTTCCAAACTGCGCATGCTTATACGCACGCAACACCGCGAGCTTTACGTTCGTACATTCGCTATCTATTTTTGCGTGCGTACGCAGCCGCGTTCTGCGTTCCCTTCTCGTAGCTCTCGTCGTTCCCGGGACAGCGCGAGACTCAGATTAGCTTGACGTGATACCGTAGATTGTTTGGAGCAGCTTGCATGCCCACACCTAGATGGCGCTGCAATTGTTTGAGTATGCGTTTGCGCTTCGCTGTACTAACGGCGCTGTATTGACCTGCTCCCCAGCATTCCGCTGAGGGCTTGCGTGCATCGCACGCAGTGTTAACCCTTTCAGGCGCTATGTACACAATTGTGTACATTAAAAGAAAAACCGAATTTCGCGTTTAGAATGCAAATATTTTAGTTAAACTAAATTTGGCATAATTATATTTTAGTCGTCTAGCAACCATGACAGTTTTTGGTGCCATCTATCGGGATTTTCGGGAGATACGATGTAAACAAGAAGCATGGCGTCGAACACAACGGCAGCGGCAGGTAGGTCAACTTTTCTAATTTATGTAGCAAGCGTGGCATGAATTCTGGCCGAAGTAAAATCACAAGTTTTATGCTACATTATAAATATTCGGTTACAACAGAGTTTATGGCAAGAAGCATCTTGGCGGGCTTGAAAAGTCCCAATTTATTGGCATACACAATCGTGTACAAAGCGCCTCAAAGGTGGCAGAAACTTTGTCAAAGAACCAATTTTGCTTGTTTTCCAGGCTTTTTGACTCTGCCTTGTTCTTCTTTTTATGCAAGAAAAAGCCATGAAAAGACGGGAGAATCAGCTGGAAGGCTTTTGGAGCGGATTGCGAATGGAGACGTGTCTGATGTAGGGGAGAGCGACGAAGAAGATGACACCTTTGAAACCAATGCGTGCCAAACGCCGGAGCAAGCTTACGACGTGGAGAATGAAGAAGCTGCGGTGGAGGATGCAAACGAAGACGAGGAGAGCACTCCTGATGTCCCGTGCACAAGCGTGATATGGAAGAAAAAAAGGTACACACCACCTCAAGACACCGGCTTTTCTGCGCGAGGAGACTTTGATGTGACAGCGGATGAGACGAGCACACCACTCACTTATTTCTCGAGATATGTTCCCCAGTCTGTATTCAAGGGCATCACAGAAGCGACAAATGAGTACAGCGTGCTAACGTCACACACCAATGTAAACACAAGTCCAGACGAGGTTCGGAAGCTTGTTGGAATGCACGTGCTGATGAGCGTGATATCGCTTCCCCGAGTGAGACTGTATTGGGACAATACAGCCAAAGTTCCGCTTATCTCAGAAACAATGACCCCAAAGAGGTTTTTCAAGTTGAGGAATAACCTTCATATTGCTGTCAGTGAGCCTTCTGATTGCCAGGACAAGCTGTGGAAGGTGCGCCCTTTCTTGGACAGCATCAGGGCGCGCTGCTTGGACCTACAACTCGAGGAAGAAGTTTCAGTGGACGAACAAATGATCCCGTTCAAGGGGAAGCTTTCGATCAAGCAGTATATGAGGGGGAAACCAACACCTTGGGGAGTCAAAGTTTTTGCCCTTTGTGGGAGAAGCGGACAGCTCTATGACTTTGTCATTTATCAAGGCCAGAACTCGATAAGTGACGATTTGAAAAAGGCGTTTGGCCTCTGCTCGGGTGTCGTGCTCCACCTAGCACAACGGATCCCATTGGGGTGCAATTATCAATTGTACTTCGACAATTATTTCACTTCAATACCCCTTCTTCGACGTCTCAAGAAAGACGGCATTCTAGCTGCTGGTACGGTACGGACGAACAGGCTGGCGAAGTGCCCCATTTCAGGTACTAAGGCAATGAAGAAGAGTCCGAGGGGGTATTCAGAGGAATGTGTTACTCAAGACGACATTGTCGCTGTCTCCTGGAAGGACAACAACTGCGTTACCATTGCCTCGAATTTTGTTGGCATAGGAGAACAAAAAGAGGTCATCAGGTGGGACAAGGAGAAGAAGCAGCACATCTTGGTCAAGCAACCAGAAGTGATCAAGAAGTATAACCAGTCAATGGGTGGAGTGGACAAGCTCGATTTTCTCTTGAGCTTATACCGGATTAAAATCCGATCGAGGAAGTGGACACTTCGGGTCCTATTTCATTTTGTTGACATTGCCATCTGTAACGCGTGGCTCGAATACTTGCGAGACAACGAAGGCATCCCCAGGACGAAGCTGATGGACCTCATGCACTTTCGCCTCCAAGTTGCAGAAGGACTAATTAAGGCCGTCCCAAATGCAAGAAAACGAGGACGACCGTCTCTAGAAAACCTGGGCCTACAGGCAGCCGAGGCCACCAAAGTGCTAAAGAAGCCAAGGATGTCTCGTCCATGCGCTGACAGCCGGTATGATTGTGTGGACCATTGGCCAGAAGCCAGGAATCAGGCAGAGCCTTCACGTTGCAAACTCGAAAACTGCAAAGGAAGGTCGAGAATTTTCTGTAAGAAATGCGCTGTCCCACTCTGTCTCACAAAGGAACGCAATTGCTTCTTCAGGTTCCACGTGTGAAAAGTGCAACCATTTGAGTGCTTTGTACACAATTGTGTACAAACTTGTAAAAAATAAAGTTTGGCATTTGTATGCAAAATTCCATTGTTTCTGTGACTTTTGAGCATATTTCTTTTAGTTTAAGTGCAAAAACAATTTTTACACTTCGAAACAGCAGATGGAGCCTGAAAGGGTTAACGCAATGATCTTTACGCTATTCTTGAACTCTCTGAAGTGTTGGTGCGCCTACTTTTCCGCAAAGCACCCGGAGACCTTATATTCGCGATCTGCGGAGGGACCCTAACATATCGCTCCATTTAAAACTAGATTAAATTAAATAAAGTAAAATTGAGCGTGCCCTAATCACTTGATAAATCACGCTCAGCGACACAACGCCAAATTCGGGTTTCTGCTTTAATTTCGGCCTCATGGTGTGACAAGGTGTACTCCTATCAAATCGCCGTGATGGCTCCTCCAGTGCTCTGAGCGAAAGTAGGAGAAGGAAAATTTTTAAGAGTGTCTTGTCGCCAAACTAAGGTGTGAACTTTCTTATTGTGCTTCTCGAAGAATCAAACAATATTGCCCAAAGCCAAAAAAAAAAAAATTGTATTTCTAAAGAACGTGCAATTTTTGTCTTGTTGCCCTACCCCCGTTTTTTTTTATTTACTTTTATTACGTCGGTAGCCCTCCACACGACGCAGGTCATTCCTTTTACTGGATCCGTGCATCGTAATTGCTCGAGAACGTTTTCTCTACGCCAAGCGGGGGGACACATACCTCTCTTAAGTTCTGGACGGACAGATCGATTTCGCCTAAGTGGCCCGCGTAAGAATCCCGGACTCGCGGGCGGAAGAAAAGATTGATTTCGCTCCCCGGAAAATGAATGCCGGGCGTGAATAATTCGGAGCACCTCTGTTATTACCGCTCTGGAGGTGGTGGACTCCTTAAAGGGGTCATGAAACGCTTTTCCAACTTTTTCCTGTTTCGCTTTCCTCCTCAACTCATAAATCGTGCATTCCACCAAACAGTTCAAGAAGACGAAAAGAAGGGAGGCCCCTCTCGCTCGGAACCTGGTTTGTGTACCCGGAGAGAGCCATTGTCCCCCTAGAAGATTAGCCCGTCGCTCAAAACTCGGACAAAAGTTTCTTTCCCTACCCCGTTCACCCCTAAGCTGACAGTGCTGTGGAAGCTACGTGCTCCTTGACGCTAGCCACACTTTTGCCACGTGAGCGTGGCAAATGTGGCTGCAGAGAATGAGGTAAATTGATGAAACGGAGGCGGCTGATAGGTCCGGCAAACGCGTAGCTCCCACCACAATGTCAGCTTAGGGGTGAAGGGATTAAATGAGGTCCGGCTTCGTGTGACGTCAGTTTGGACCCGACGACGCGCTTTTGGGACCGCGGATGTATCGCAGTGAAAAGGCGGAGAGGTTACGAAGGGGAGGAGGTACGAAATAGTCCGCTGTGTTTTCAAATTTTCGCACTGAAAGTCAGGCTTTTGACTTTCTACCTTTTTCTTTTGGCCCACTGATTGATGTACTATTAGTAAAATCCCAATCTAAAATGATTTATCCCAAGCCAAAAATTGTTTCATGGGCCCATTAAGCACCGCCGGCGGCGTCGGCGGTGGGGAAACTGCGCGGCTGAAAGGGCAGATCGAAATTGCATATTCCGAAGGCTCCCACCTTACCGAAAGGAGCAGCTTTGCTTGCCCCGCTAGATGGGAAAACAGGCAGCGAGATCTGTCGGCCGGAATTCGGGCAGAGGGAGGCGTCGTGAGAGAGCTCGATCATGCAGCGGATATGCACGAGGTACGATGAAATCGATCCAGCGAACTCGTCGAATCGATGCTCGAGTTCGGTTGAGTAAAGAGTCGAAGTGCTGCTTGACCTCGGGACCCCGAATAAATTAAAACGCTCCCCTGACACTAATTATGATAGGACTCCTTGTGAGACTTAATTCTGAGAGGCCTTCTCGTGATGTTGGTGACGAAGACGGAGACTTAAAAGATGCGCGTTACAAAAGGCTTTGGCAAGAACTAGTGCTTTTCCGCATCCCCATGTGGAGAGCAAGTCGTCTGCTTTTTGCGCAGGAGTTGCGGTGACGTGAGAACGACGCCGAGCTCTGATTGGCCTTGATTGAAAAGATAGTGGGTATACCTCAATGCTAGATACCTTGAGGTTGTGAGAACCCATCGCGTTCCTTCCCACCGCATTGTGCTTTGCTGATCCCATGTGGCGATAACATCGAAGGGGCAAGGCCGAAGTGGACAATCTTGTGCCCACAGCGGCGTTGCCTGAGGATGACGGGGCTACAAATGGGACGAAGAGACGTCGGTTAGGGCTCTCGGCTGCTGGGGACGAACGAGAACGGCTGCCCGGCTTCTGGGCCGCGGGGCTTTGATTGCCGCCACAAGCTGGTGACCTTCCCGGAGCCCCTGGATGACAGTGCCCGTCGAAACCAACGCGGCCACTTGCCTGGAACCACAGCTTCCCATGTAAGACGTTTGCGCGCCTCCAGACCATCGGGAAGCCAACCCATGACGACGTTCGCGCGCTGCCCGCCGACTGCCCGGACATTGACGCGAGGCTTGCCTCGTAAATATTATATTGGGTTATTAAACCGTTAAGCTAGAGCGTGTGCCGTGACCACCCGAGGAAAATTCGTTAAAGAACCGCCCACAAGGTCAACCGACTATTTTTGTCTCGATGTACGGACACCATCGCAACCCCTGTACAAGGTGCCGACAAACGTGTGGTACCCACTAAATTTTCGCGTGGTTCTTGGCGGTAAACATTGATAGTATATATATACTCGCCAATTCAACAAGTCTTTTGCCGCGCCTAACGTTACTGACGCTTTCTCGTAGAAGCCCCTTCAGAATGCTACTCATAGCTTTTGTTATTTTGGTTCTTTTCGACTCATCAATATTCACCGCTACCACCACCGCAGCCGCTGGAGGTTTCCTGCCCTCTTTGATGAGCCATGGTTTTGAGAGCTACGGCAGCTTACGGGACGGCCGAAGACCCGCTGCCGGCTCGCGCTACGTCGTCGAACGCACATGCTACGACTACGGCGGACCCTGAGACAATCACTTCAACAGCCCCGGCAACAGCTACTATGATTGCTACCGGGCTCCCCCCAACAGACCCCAGGCCCACCACGGAGGTTCACTGGAACACGGCGGTGCAAGTTACGGCCCCGCGTGTGCCTATTTGTTGCGCAGGCGGCGGGCCCGCACCAGGAATCTCTGCTGATCGTGTACGTCCTCAAATCTGAGGAGATGTACGTCGAGAAGCTCTTCAGATTGCTCCGCTTGTACGGCAACGTCGTGAGGATCAAGATCCCGAAGAGGAAGAACGGCCGTGCCTTGGTAGAGACGCACGACTCCCTGGCCGTGGTGAGAGTGGTGGGACACACAACAACGCGCAGTTCTTCAACATCGTGTTTATTCCATGAAGGCGAAATTGGGAACCTCACTGCTGAAGGCCTGAAGGCGAGGCCTATACCATACGGTATAGGCCTGGTTCTTCAGAATTTGGGTGTCGCTCCAGGGTTCGCGTGCAAGGGCATATCCGGTCCTTTGATTAGACCCAAACCTGGTTGAAAGAGTTCTTGGTATTCTGACAAGACCTCGTTCAAGTCTTGACGTTTTTTTTCGCACTCCGAAAACAACAGTTGAGCTGGAAGAAGGCGGAACGCTCAAATAACGTCGCGGCCAACTAGTCTTGGTCCGTTGCATCCCAAAACTTTTAGCTAGGTGTCCACTTGACGTCCTTCGTAACGGACCTTCAAACTCAACTTCCCCATGATGGGAACTTTGCCGAGGTGGCACACACACAGCGAAAAAGTACACCCCTGGACGTGTAAACCGTTGTCCCAGGGCGGACTCCCCAAATGGTGTTCGTTTAACACGCGAGGCTCGGTGTATTTCGTTTGCATCCGAGGTCTCGTGTAAAATGAACATCTTTGAACGTGTACTTCGTTCTGCGATCACACGTCTAGGGGTGTTTTTTTACAATGGCGGCCGTTTGACGCAAGACGGGTTCGACGAGCGAGGCCCAGCGCTTTACACGGCTTTTCGCCGCAGCGAAAGCGTAGTTTGCGCGTGTTCGTTCGTAATCGTCCATACGTGCTGAACTACCGCAAGCATTCACCCGCAAGCGCCGACGCCGTATCCATTACGGCGATTACGCGACAGTGGGAGCGACCATCGACTGCATCCGGCAGCGTGCTTCCCCATCAAGCAGGTCTCGTTCGCGTGGCGGTTCAGCCGATCGCCGAGGCCTCAAGCCGGTTGCATTGTCACCGACGCCGGGTAATTTCCACAGCAGTTATCTTTTCGCGACCACAGACATGACCTTTATTGAAAAAGCCCGTTTGCCGCGAGCGACGACGAATAGCTCCGACACCGACCCGACCCGACCCTACCCGACCGGCGTTACCGACGTCCCGCTCACCTCTTTACCGCGAGCAAAGTTGTACGCGACGTTTCGACGTATCCACTCATATCTCGTGTGTACGCAAATTTTGCGGCTTTCCGGGTACGAATCGGCTACGGAAACGGCCAGCGAACGAAGACGAACTGAACGCCATGCGCCATTTAAACACGCGGTTACTTTTCTACTAGACTGTAGCTATGTGGTGTGATTCCTTACACATAAATGGACTACGTACAAACAAAGCTAAAATAAAATTGGGCGGCTGCTTGCGCCACCTAGTGAGTATGCGGAAAACTACAAAAGTAAAGGTAATTTTGGCATTTGTGGAAGTGACACGCTCGAACACGGACGGCAGCATACCAACACATACATCACAGCACATACATCACAGCACATACCACAAGATCAACATGCAAGCATCCAGATACACAAACAACGAACAGAGGCACTAACAACCCGACACTCCTACTATTCTAATAGAAACCCGCTCGGTATATATAGCAGACTTTTTGTTTCAAACGAAGGTCCGGTGACACCCCCCGTATTCTATATGAACGTAACGATATTACACAATTATTACTTATATAGTACGGCGACATAAATATAATTTGGGAAGGTACACATTTCTCTTAGTCTAGATTATAGCTAAAAGACACCCTATATTTAAAAAAAAATGTTTCGAGCTAGCCAAAATGTAGCAAAATCTGGTTTCGTTTTCGGA